CTATAGAGAATTAACAAGCGTCATTTCTTGGTTATGTATTTATTACCTGTATGTGCATATGCAGATGCATGTGTGCATACATCTAACCAAAAATATATTTACCTATATAAAGAGACGAAGACTTCGACCTCAAAGGTTTCACAAATCATAAGCGGCTCAAAACTTCTAATAAAGATTCATTAGAGGCCTTTTTCACCATCCTGAACAATCAACCATCATTCCTGGGGATCCCTTGTACGCATATATGAAGATTGCTAACAAGAGTTCCAGATCAATGAAAAACGCATTTATCATGTTTTTACTTTTTTTGAGGGTGAGTGTCTGGCAAAGAGTAAAACATTTAGGTGATGCAGCTAGGAAGTTATAAGTGAACAACTTTCCAAACAAGGGAGACTTGAATGCTTACAACCCAGATGGGGAAGGAGGTTCTTTATAAAAGACCTCAGGTCACATATTATCCAAGCACTTTTAGCACCAACATTCTACACATGGATGGATAGATAAAGATAGATAGATAGATAATATAGAGGGCCAGAGGCAAAAAATGCCTGATGAATTTTTTAACAGATAATACTTACATACTAAGTTCCTCCCTACAGAGCAAGGTACAACTAGAAATGCATATTGAAAATATCGATCAATTTTCACTTTACTACCCTAAAACCATAGTGTACGAGACACCACTTACAAACAGCATCCCATTAAACTGCTCAATGTAGTCAATTCTACATCACTGGACAAACCCAATGTGGCACACGCACGAGCATGTATATACACAAGTAACATATCATTTGAAGCACATAGTTTTCAAGGAATAAGCTCTGAGAGAGAGAGAGAGAGCAGGGGCAGACAAACTATGAACACATAGTGATGAAACCATCTACACTCAAGTTAATTTAGTTTCAACAAAATGCAATAATTTACAGATTAACTATTTGATGAAGAAAATATGTCGGGGAAAGCTTGAATCTTTCTGAGAGATAACCACAGTGTATTGCAAGTGCAAAAGAGTATCTATCAGACATGAGCATCTATAAGAACTCCATAAGCCTCAACTCTTGGTTCTATATTTATTCAAAAGCATCCACACACACAAGCAAGTGTACATACATATATTTAGTTTGAAATACACAAAAGCCCTTGGATATCAATACTTTTCCCAAATCACAGGCAACTTAAGACAACAGTGATTTATTGAAGGCCTTTTACACAAGTACCATACATACCATATCAACTAGTAATTACTTCTGTTTCTCTTTCTCTATAGCAGCATTGGCAGCATCAAGATCCTCATCCAAGAACAAATCCCAATGTCCATCCCACTTAATAAAGAACTCAGTATCCTCAAAATACTTCACTCTGTGCACATCTCCTGCTGGAGTAAACAAGTAATCCCCCACCCCTAATTCATATTTCTCGCCTTTCGTCAAGTTCCACACACATTTACTCCCACTTATAACCACCAAATCATGCCCAAAAGTATGGTGATGGGCAGGTTCCAGGCTGCCGGCCTTAAACCTAACTACGGCCGATGTAGGAGTTTCCCTCAAAATTTTCATGGACGCACCAGGCATTATTTCAACCGGCGTAAACTCCTTTTGATTCCTGCTTTTCGCCAGGGAGCAAATAAAACACGGAGGATCAGCAATACCATCAGTATTGCTCCCAGTTTTAGTTTTCCCAATTTCGGCCATTTCTTGAACAGAAGTGTCCAAGAAGGACTGAATATCTTCCGGCCATGGATTGGAGCCGGAAGCGGGGCAAGGAGCCTTAAAAGGGGTGTTGAGGAAAGTGTTCAGAATATCTAAAGCAACTTCAGGGGCAGTAGACATACCAGACACAGCTAGAACATTACAATTATTGATGGACCGGGCATTGAGGGCGTCAGCAGGGGTGAGGCAAGTAGCGGCGTATACTCCTGGTAACTTGTTAGCGAAGATGCCAACACCCACACCGGTGCCACAAGCTACTAGACCACGGATCTCGACCGAGTCATCGGTGTTTCCCAGGCTGACATGGCGTCCTATTTCTTCGCCGACAGAATAGTACTTATCAGTTCCGAGGTCTTCCACTTCGATGTTGAGAGAACGCAAGTGTGTTACAAGAGAGTCTTTCAAATTGCAGCCGAATGCGTCAGCTCCGGCTATGATTTTGATGCGGCGGGGATTAGTGGCGATTGCTTCTTGCTGAGCCATGTATGAATTACCAATCGAGCTGGGTGCCTGACAAAATGATTTAATCGAAAGCGCAGAATGCTCTCTTTCACAGTTTCACTTCACAATGCCTTTGACAGGGGAGTCAACAGTGTTTGGAACGGATCGATGCCTAATTTTATGTCCCGATTCATTCTTCGATTATCTTTTGGGTTAATTTCACAAATGG